CAGAGTAGCCATGGTCAATTCCATCTCAGGCAGAACGCTTCTGGTCTTCACTTTTTGCAGAAGCAAAGCACAAACATCTCCTGGGGTCACTACCATATGTCAGGCAAACCACCAAAGCAATGAAACCCAGCAGTGTGTTTTTATTGTTTCACTGAAGGTAAGCTAAAAGCTTTGTAAGCCATTGCTACAAACGCAGAATGCCAGCTGTTGATAAAATCTGCATTATGGATAACTCATTTTGCAGCTCCAAAGGGTTATGCCTCCATTTGCTTTTCCTCAACCTGACTTACAGGTGGAGCTTTTCCCATATACATAGAACTTTTTTTTTTTTTTTCCCCTTTCATTCTCCTTCTCTCCAATTCAAATTATGCTGCTGTTCTCTATTTCTGCATATCATCTCAGTTTTCATTCCCTTCACTCTTGGGCAGCATAATTGGATTGCACTAATTACCTAAATCAGGCTCCATCAGGATACTGCATCACTAGCTAGTTGGCTGGGGTAAGCCTTTTGAGGGGCCACCTGCAAAGAGTCTGAAACACAAGCAGCGTTCAGGAGCTGGCTGATGGTATCAGTTATGGAGTTGGCCTTAGAAACCTGCCCTGCAATTTCAGTGTCAGAGAAAACACGTTCTTCTGCTCCATGATTTAGCTGAAGAGATAAACCAACACATGGCAGTGGAGGATCCTGCCTACAAATGCCTTCAAAAGTAGGAATGGGGTTGAGTTTCCTGGGATTTAGTCCCAAAAGCTATTATTTCCGTACGTAAACTATGTGCACGTCAACATCTTTTCACACAGCCATAGCTACACCACCTGCCTACACCACAGGAGCAATAGGTCACTTTCACTAAACAGTGACATGGCAGCTGACACTTCTGGCAGAGAAGCAGCAAATGGAAACGCATTGTTGCGTTGGTGGAATGGTAATTGCAAGCAGTTAAAAGAGCCAAGCATGGACTGACAAGATCACTTTTGTTTAGCAAACAGTTAAACTCACTCACCAGAGATCAGGCAAACCTACACTGCAGTTTGGCACAAGCTTTGGGAGGGAGCTGGAATGATTAATGAGCCATCAGCCACGTGCTTCAGAGAGAGCTGCTACAGCAGTGCTGCTCTCTCTCCTACCTCCCAGAAGCTGCAGGGTGGTGGTAGCAGCAGTCTGCTTCCCTACTGACTCTGTTTTCCTTATTAATTCCCTATTAATATGCCCACTGCTCCTCATCACACTAGGCAGACGTGATATATTCATCTCCCATCCTTCTGACAGAGCTGCAGCTGGATTGCTAAACCCCTTGACTAAATCTGTATTTTATGTCATATGGAGAGTGTTAATCTGAACTCACCTGGAGACCAAACACATAGTGAGGGGCACCTGGGGGAATGTCACAGAAGTTGGTGTTGTTAACGTTCAAGGCCAGGTTGGACTGGGTCCTGGGCAGTCTTATCTAGTGGAAGGTGTCCCTGCCCATGACAGGGGGATTGGAATATGGCAAGGGCTTTAAGGTCCCTTTCAACCCAAACCATTCTGTGATTCTGAGTGCTGCCTCAGCTTCCCAGCTTCTTGTCCATTTTCAGGTCAGGCCAGTAGCCAAAAATATTCTGAATCATCAGAAGGGCAGTATAACTACTAATTTCCTTCTTTCTAATTGTAGAGAATTGGTCTACAACCAGGGGCAGTGATTTGCAAAGCTGGAGTCTGTGAGGATGCATAAAACAACGTGAACATGAAAACTGTGCTATTCTGCAACACCTATCTAGAATATCCACCATCACGTTATATATCCCATATCCATCCCATTCTCCATCTCTCCATTGTAGCCAATAGCATAGGTACCCAGCCACCTCTGTGAGGCCTCCACATTTCAGATGGGAATGTCGGAGGGGAAAACATGGAATGTTATTCTCCACAGGCAAATATATAACTCTTTTTAATTACATCACACTATTGCTTACTGTACAGCCTCAAAAACTCAGCAACAGGGCTTGAGTGAGAGAGTAAAAATAAGGAACGTTTAAGTGAATCACTGAATCATAGAATCATAAAGGTTGGAAAAGCCCACTAAGATCATCTAGTCCAATTGTCCACCTACCACCATGCCTACTAACCATGTCACTCAGTGCCACATCCATGTTTCTTGGATACCTCCAGGGACAGTGACTCCAGCATTTCCCCGGGCAGCCTGTTCCAGTGCACCACCACTCTTTTGGAGAATTTTTTCCTAATATCCAATTTGAACCTCCTCTGGCACAACTTGAGGCCATTCCCCCTCATCCTATTGCTGTTACGTATGGGAAGAGGCCAACCCCTTCCCTGCCTCCTCTTCTGCGGACAGAACAATCCCAGTTCCCTCAGCTCCTCCCTATAAGGCCTGTGCTCCAGATCCCTCACAAATCCGCCACTCTAAGTGCAGATTGCTGAGGTGGTGGAAGTAAGGAGTGCAGCTCCCCAGTGACTCCTGGCGTGCATGCAGTGCAGGCCTTGTGAGGACAGATAGTGAGCATGCAAAGTGGGGGCAGAGAATGGCTTTTCAGAAATGTGAACTAATACCAAAATAACTGAAGCAATCAGAGCACGAGCCAGAGCCACTGAGACACTGGGTACCTGGGAAATGCTTCCATGTGGACTTGAGCCCTGACCAGGCCTTGGATGCTCTATAAACAATACGAGCAGCACAATCTGTGCCATCTAATGCCATTGAGGAAACGTTTGAAATTAGAATCTCTTATAACTGAAATACTGCTGAGCAGAAGACAGCGTTATAATAAATGAGTGCTGCTGAGTCAGAGGAGAAAAAAATGTTTTGCCAGTAAATCCCATTTACACAGGCAGAGGTGATGTCAGTAGGAGCAGAAAGCAGTGAGTGATGTTACGCTCCACACTCTATGGGGGGTTTGCAATATATTTGTTAGTCCCTCTCCTTTCTTTCAGTGGCCTTTTCTGGTAAATTGGAGAGAGCCTGGAGAAGAGCTATGGGAATTATTAGTGATCACAAAAACTTGCATAACAGTGAAAATGACAGCATCTAGGAGGGCTGCTCCGAAAGTAATGCCTCCTATTTGATTATGTTGGCCTATTTGATTTTGTTGCCCTATTTGATTTTGTTGCCATGTGACACATGGCAGCAGAGGGAGAGTGACAAAATGGCATCTGACATAGAAGTACACGTGAAGTGAAAGTGTGGAAATGGATTCCTCCACACAGAAAAAATGTCAGCCATTTACATTCACTGACATTTGATGAATGTTTACAAAGACCAAACAGTAGATGTGAGCATAGTGAGGTGGTGGATGGCGCATTCCAGCAGTGGTGACAGCAAGGTGAAAGACAAGCCATGTTCCAGATGGCCATACAGATTTTTACAAACACAGTATGCAGGCTGGTGAAAATGCATAGTTAATGGTGGTGACTATGTTGAAAAATAGTGCTTTGTAGCTGACAATTTGCTCTATCAAACAGTGTTATTGCGCTCTTTGTAGCTGTTGTCGTTTCCAGGGAAATAAATAGGAGGCAGTACTTTCAGAGCAAGCTACATACATTCATCAATTGTATCCAGCAGCAGATTAGAGGAGAAACTGATCACTGTATAGAAAACTGTCTTCTGATAATGAGCTCTTCAGTGTGGCATTTAAAGGTGTAAACAAATACAATGAACAGGAAGCTGACGTTAAACAAAACAGACTAAAAATAAAGGAGGACATTTTCAACAGCCAGGGTAATTAACCTTCAGTCCAACTTATTGATGGCTGTACTGGATTTTCCATTCCTGGAAATGTTGAAAAATAGGATGGCGGCTTTTCTAAATGACTTCCTAAATCCTGAGCATGGTAAAAGAGAAAAGGTACACAAAATCTAAAAATCACCTTCACCTAGTTTAACTCAATCCTTACTGACAAAATACCATCCTGCCCTCCCAGCTCATGGGTGGGATAAGAGCCCTTGAGATTCTCTGGCATAACCCTGTCAGTTGGCAAGAAGATAAAACATAGGAGTTTCCTCCCACACCACATGTCAGGAAAGAATATTTCTTGCACCTCCTGACATGCCCTTTTGTGCTGAGCTCTGTTTTTGCCACTAGAGCCACTCCTCATGTTGTCTGCCCTTTCCACACGTGCCTTTTTTCCTGGCAGCACTGTCTGCACCCTATATGCTGGCTCTCCCTTGCCACTCCCATTTTACCTGCACACCTTTCTACAGGGTTAGTCCCTTCTCTCAGGACTGGAGGGCAGCAGGGAGCATCCAAAGTCCTGGGCAAGCATCCACTGTGGGGCAGCAAATGGAGGAACACTGCATGCAGGGAGCTGCCCCTGTTCCATGTGGGGTCAGGAGATGTATCACCCAGGATCTACTATGTGCACAGTCTGGGTCAGGTGATCCTGCATATTAAGCCATGCCCTTGGCCCAGATTTACCATGCATCTATAAGCAAGACAGTTCACCTTCCTGCTTCAGCCTCCCCTTTTGCAGAACTGTGGTAATTATATTTACCTGCTACTGCACAGGAGCATTGTCAGCACCAATTAGTTTAGTGTTCATGCAAAGCTTTGCAGACAGTAGCCTCAATACAAGCCGTAAGTACTATTATTATTGCTTACTTCAGATGGCTACAGCAGTGGCATTTTCCAGGCATGCACCATTAACAATTTACTAAGATAAATGGCCCAGGAACCTGAAAATGCATTTATGACAACTACCTCCTGCTTACCAGCACACATTCAGCCAAGTAAGTGACACCTCATTGCTCAATGTGTAGCTATGGTAACATTTATATCTCATATTGAAGTATACACACAAACACACACGGAACTGGAGGGAAGCCAGGCTCCCTCTTTTAATGACACACGCAACATTGAGCCAAAGAACTTTCCTAACCTCTGAAAACTGAGCTGTCCCCAGGGAAGGAGCTGGGGGGTGAGGAGCAGGCAGCCCTTGGCAGGAAGGGATGCGCTACAGGTGGGCTGCACCACACAGTGCGAGCCTAGCTGGGGCTTCAGGGAACTTACTTGAGAGCAGTTTTGTAGTGGTAGATCGCTTCCACATTACGGCCTTGGTCTTTCAGAAAATTGGCATAGTTGTAGTGCACCTTGGCGTTGTGGGGTAGAGTCCTCACTCCTGAGCTGCGAAGAGGAACAGAAGCAGTATGGCGTAAGCATCAGCATGGCAACCTTCCCTGTGGTGATACACTGTGGTAATTTGAAATACAATGTGTTAAATTGAAAGACTCTAAAAAGCCTAATATTCAGCGGGAAAGCACGCAGTACTTTCTGTAATACAGCTGTAACAGGCTCCCTCATCTCCAGCCCTGCTTAAACTGGAGTGTCACGAAGGCACCTTATGAAAACCTTGATTTCAATCTGTCAGCTGCAGGCACCAGAAAGAAGTATGCTTTCCATAGGCATCAGCCACTAGAGGGGATTCACAGCACACTCTGAGCACCCAGCCAGCACACATTTATACGCAGCACAGCACTGAGCAGAGTGGGACCAGGAGGGGAGGGCTAAAAGGACTCTTGCCCTGAGCTGGCAAGTAATATTCTCTCACATTATAACATATGACCATGGATGTGTGACCGCACAGCCAACCCAGCCCTCCCCTTCATCCTCCTTGCTATGCAGATTGGACTGAATGTTTGGAATTAATAATGAGGGTGCAAAGACAAAAGGAGAAGAGCAGGCATGTGCTTATTTACTTAACTGACAGCACACAAACAAGGTACACCTTGCACAGCTGGAGGAAATGCTGCTTCGAGGTTATAGTTAGAAAGAAATCTCAAGAGCACGTACACCATGGAAACATTTCCCCTGCAAGAACCCAGAGAAGTCGGAATGCTGTTTAACAGGGAAATTTTTTCCAGCACATAAATAGGGACTCTCTGAGGTAATGGGAAATAAAAGTGGATTAAACTGTTCATGTAAAAGCAGAAAAAACACTGTTTCTCACTCACAAGCAGATCCCTGCCAGCTGCTGTCTTCCTTCCTCCCCATCAGCTCTATGCTTCCTACTCCAGGTAAGAAACTCAACAGTAAAGTCATTCCAAGCCTTACCCTGCTTACAATGTCTCTGCTGTTTAACCAGGGTGGGCAGAGAAGTTAACCATGAAAAGTTGAAGTTGCAAACAGGTTCTACAGCGGGGAGCAGGCACCCACAGGCGCCCAAGCCCTCTGCTAGGAATTTCATTTTAAATGACACTCTGGAGAATCTTAGTGGCAAAACTGCTGCCTTTTTGGTTATCTGCAGCCAGTGGCATCACGTGTCACTAATGCCTTCTTGTGAGAGCTTCCAAAGCTTCGCCCACAGCTGCCTTACGGAGTTCAGCGCAACACAGCCACAGTTTGCCTACAGAAATCAAAAATAGACCTTGCAGTTGGCTTCCTAATCATCAGGTACTTCCAAATTACTTACTGGGAGCACTACAGGAATAAGACATTTTGTGACTAATCGCTGAATTAAATCAGTTAATTGATGCTATTCTTAAGAGAATGATTTTCTATATTAGTTTTCACAAAGATATACTGCACCAGCAGCAAGTAATGTGTGACTGCTATGGCTGTGTTAATTTCCATTGGCCTTGGGAGCTATTAACTACACACTTACAACCTCTGGGCATTACCGGAATATTAATTCTTATACAGAGAGGGTTGAATTACATCAGTGACAGCGTTACAGGCAGAGTCGCAGACTCAAAGCTGTTACCATCTCAGAGCTATGTGCAATGAGTTGTTGGCTCCGTTATAGCCCCCGCTGAAACACAGCACACCGAGTTAATGGTGGGAAGTATATTACATATGCACAAGTACTGCAGTTCTAATGAGATACAGTTTTAACAGTAAGATGCATATGTTTAAATATTTTAATTCTGGGCTGTTTCTCTTTAAATAGAATTTATTACTAATCCTGCTGGTCCCATTTATTAAAACGTCACCGATAAAGCTCTTTCATCTGCGTGATTCTGCTGGGGGTGGGGGTGACATAGGAAACAGAAACTGGCTTGAGTTCGAGTCATTATGATGCTGGCTTCTGCATCACACCACTCACATTCCCTGACCTATTTATTCTCCTTGCATGGGTGGGGAGGGGGGTGTTTGGTTTTGCAAATGCACACAGCAATGACTGAGGCAAACTGCTTGTGGACTCCGCACTGTCAGCAGCACAGCAAACACCCGGCTGGAGGCAGAGTGGATTTTTTGGAGAGTTTAGGCAAACACTTCTGCTAACTGATTCTTGACCAGCTGAGAACACTGTTTGCTCACTGACAGGGGAAACAATAATGTCCACAAATGAAAGCCAAGTGGGAAAGGGTGGAGTATAAATAACAAAGCAGAACACAATGGCTTTCCATTTCTGCTTCCCGCAAGCCCGCAATCTCTCACAGTTTCAATCTCTTTTTCCAACTTCTTTTCCAAATTCTCCCGTCTCCCTCCTCCCCAACCCAGCACATGTGCCCTTCTGAAAACCTAAGGACCCACTGTCCAGCCAGTCAGAAACAAGTCAGCTGACATTCAATGTCACTCATCAGGAGCATTTCCTTCCTTTCCGATTTCCACGACAGCACTAAATAACATAAATGGAAAATAAGCAATAGGAAAGCCATCTTACGTAGTGCTTCCTCCCCATGGAAAGGAGGCAGCCTGTTAGTCATAATGCAGAGAAACAAAATGCCATTGGCACTTCCAACCTCAAACCCAAACCCCATTTAGCCAGCAAAAGTCTCCCATGATATTGTTTTCCTCAGTGCATGTTCCACTCTGCAAAGTTTGGAGCAGAAAATACATTGATTTTCTGTGATTTTCATATGAAAAGCATTCAGTTAGCAAGGAAATGAGACTGCTCCTGTCTCAGCAGGAACCTTGGGACCCTGAAGTGATATGTTCTGCTTTGGGAATCATTATCACCAATAAAGATTCTCTATGGCAAAATGTTCCCTGGATGACCCCAACAGCTGCTGTCCCTGGCCTCATATCCTCGTATTGATTTTCACAGATATCAACATGGGACTCCGAACCATTCTACAGAAGATGCACAAAATGCAAGGGACATTGCTCTTCTTAGCTGAGTTGACTTTCAGAATTAACAAAAGCACACAGTAGTAAATGTCTCCTTTGGGGTGGGTTGGTTATTTTTCTCCTGTTTCTTTTCTTTGTTTTTGACTGGGTTTTTTTTTGCACATTACTGAGGTCAGCAGACCTGACTAGGGAGGGAGAACTGCCAACTAAGAAAGAGCCACTTTTATATAGTTCCTCTACTGGCTGCAGCCTTACTTCCAGACACTGTCACAAATGTGAGCTGTGCATGCAAAGCTTTCCAGGAACAAAAGGAAACATGACAGCTTCATCAACCTTGAGAAGGTTGATACAGCGGATGCAGGGGTCAGCCCACAGCCCTCATTTCGCTCTCTCTGGCTGGAGCCTGAGCCTCAAACAAGCCCTCCTTGTACACCTGCTAACACAGTCAGGCAAATTAGAGGCTTCTAGAAATTTATGCTTCAAATAGCTATATCTATACATCTAGTCACTTTTTATGCTTATGGGTCATTTGCTTCTCTTTAGCCCTTGCTTTTAGCCCTTGCTTTTAGCCCTTGCTTATGCACTTATGCACAAATATGTAGATGCATCCTCTGCTCAGGTGGTATCATTCTCTTCCACACTGAGGACTCAGAGGGATTTCTGGTTCCTCCAGATTTGGACCCTGTACTGGAGCCCAAGAGTTGTGGCAGCCATTAGCAGGGAGGGTGATGGTGATGACACTGGCAGCATTGTGTCAAAGCAGGGCAAACCTTGAGAATGAAAAAAGATGGGGTGCAAAGTACAAAACTGATAACATGCTGAGAATACATCTGCATCTCCTGGGGAAAAAAAAGTGCAGACAAAGCATGTATAACAGAACCGAGGGAAATGAGACAGACTGACACTGAAAAAACACATCTAATCAAATGGAGGAATTGAAAGGAGAGGTGAAGGGGAAGAACGAGAGGAGGGAAGAATCAGTAATTAATTAAAGCAGCAAGTGGAGGAAGAAGAATAGAGAACTAAGAATGGGAATAAAGATCCTCTCAGCACATACTTCTTTAAAAAAAAATTCAACGCACAGACAGACTACCAAGTAGGTTGATTTATGTCTCCTTTCCCCATATATAGATTTGCTCTGTTTCCTTATTATTTTCTCTCAAAATGCTTTACTGTTCCTTATCTCCTCCTCCTTCTCCATCCTTTCTAATTTATTGCTGTCTAACATGCCTCCATCCACTTCTCCCGCCTTCAGTCCTCTCAACATCATTCCATGTACAGCCTCTACGCTCCTTAGATAATGAAATTATCTTCTTCTTCCAGTCTTCTACTGTTGTATTTCTTTCCTATCCTACCATATTGTAGACTCCCAACACGTGTAACATCTATGAAAAAAGATCTTGAAGGCCAACAGAATGCCAATTTGGTTAAACAGCATAATAAAGAAGGCTATGAGAAATGGAAAACACTCATTTAAGAAGTAAACTTTGCAGCTGAAGAGGTAAAAAAAGTTAAGTGTATAATCTTTATCCAGTTCAACATAAACCATAGTTAGGCAGACCAAAAGAGATATAAAGAAAAACTTGCTAAAGATATCAAAGCTAAGAATGCAATGCATCAGATATAGAAAATCAGCCAAAGAAATTCCCACTAAGGGAAATATCTGACGGAGGTTCTAAAAGTAATGCTTGAAGATGAAAAGGCCACAACAGAAGAGCTCACTAAGGGGAGCTGAAGGATGTTCCCACACTACAACCTTTCCTTAGAGAGGCAAGTCCAAAGCAGTGTCTCAAACTAAAGTGGTACTAAGTGAAGCATTAGAACAAACCAACACCAAGAACACCTAAAAATCCACAGGGCCTGGTAGCATAAAACTTTTCCAAAGGAAATCAAATGTGAAGCTGCTATTAGCTGCAGTATGTAACCTATCATTTAAATGAGCCTTAATATAGGAGAAATGGGAGATGATGAACATGATGTCAGTTGCCTCCACCCAAAGGATATGGGGAGTGACAGAGCAGCAAGACTGATTACATGTTCAAGTAATTAGGAGAAACAGCAATAAAACTAGATCTAGCAAACTTCTGGATAGCTACAATCCAACAGGGAAGAATTTAACCTTGTATTTTGCAGAAAGAAGTTAGGTGAACAGATCCGTCATTCTTTGATAAACTCAACAGGCATGTGGTACTAAAGCCATTGAAAGCTTTTATGAAAGCCCTGTCAGTTTCAATCATCTCAATGTTGTGCACCTGGATGCTCAAAAAGGCTTTTGATAAAATCCCTCGCTGAAGTTTTCCCATTTCTTGAAGGCATCATGGAATAAGATGGAAGGTCCCCTTGTGAATCACTGTCTGCTTGAAATACAGCAAGAGAACAGGTAGGTGAAAAGTTTTCCTAAATGGAGAAGACTACAAGCAGGGTTCCAATAGCCATGCACTGGCACTTAGGCCACTTCATGTGTTCACAAAAGATCTGAATATGGGATCAAACAGGGAGACAGCACATTTACAAATGACAACATGAATCACATCGCAGGAATTAAAGCTAACTAAAAAATGTTGCAGAAGAATCTCGCAGTATTGAAGACTGAGCAAGAAAGTGGCAAATGAAATGGAATTCTGTTACAGGCACAAGTTTTAGATTGGTGTCTACACGTCAGACATTTCCACTCATAACAGGTATCCTGGAGCTTGTATGGACAGATTAGACATTAATAGGAAAGGAATAGAGAACAACAACCAGAAAACAGCCCAATAGTACTGAGCTGCAAATCTGAGTGGAGTATGTTGTTCTGGTCTCCATCTCAAAAGGATAGGTTAGAATTGGAAAACACCTAAAAATAGTGACAAGAGGGATCAGAAACCACCAATATGGAAGCATAACAGCTCTGGGAAAAGGCTGGGTTGTACAGGCACGAAAGGCACATGAAAAGTGATCAGTTGATGGGTTGCTCCCTACTCACTCAAAACACCAGGACTAGTGGAAAGCAAGAAAGATGATCAGGCAGAACATTCATGACACACGAAAAGGAAGTCGTTTTGTTGCACACTGTGTAATTTAATGATGGAGCCCAGTGCACAGGATGCTGTGGAAGCCAAAACTATAAATAAATTTGAAAAAGCAGCCAGAGACATTAATGGAAGAAAGATCCATCAGCAGCTGCTAAGCGGAAAAAAAAAAAAAAAAGAGAAAATGAATCCTGACTCAGGAAGTCTTTAAACTGGAGATCAGTGCAAGCTAGGAAAAGACTGAGAGAAGCATCACTGCTGCTTGTCTGGTTCTTAAATTGCTTCTATAGGCATCTGCTGCCAATTGCTTCTTGAGGCAATACCAGGTAACCCAACATGAGCACACCAACACTCTTGCCTTCTTCTCAAAAGCCAAGGGCAGATATCTTTCCTGGACTTGTCCCCAAAAGTCCCAAGCTGGCCAGCCTAACCCAAGCCACTAAGTGTCCTACCTACTCCAGCATAATGCAAAGCCTTACCTTGGGGCACTGTGTCCAAGCTCTGGCTCAGTGCTGCACTAACAGTTCTATGGCTTCTGAATTTGATCTGGTTTGTGGAAGGCCACCTTGCTTTGAATAGAGGCAGGATAGATACAGGTCTATTTCAAGTGTAGATGTGGCACTGAGGGAAGTGGTTAGTGGGCACGGTGGTGATGGACTGACAGTTGCACTAGATGGTCTTAGTGGTCTTTTCCAACCTCAATGATTCTATGATTCTATTTGCATCCAACTAAGCCGAAGTAACTATGGGTTATGTCTCTTTTGTGATAGACCCTCTGGCACACTGAATCATCCCAAGAGGGGTTCTCCTGGAAGAGAGGAGTGAGAGATACCTTCCTCTCATCCACTCTGGTTTGACTTCTTCTCTCTTAAACACAGGTGACCACAGCAGTATGCAATGATACACAGGTGATGCCTAATGCACAACATATGGAATTGCCATCTTCCCCCCCCCTTTCAACAAGAGAGTCATCCAATTTGGGAAGCTGTCTGGCTTTCCTGCAAGTGGCCACCATCAACTTGAAGGCTTGGACTGGAACCACAATTAACACAGAGCTGTGAGAGCCCAGACTGGTCACCATGGCTGCTGCTGTCTGAACAGCAAACAGAGGTTTAGAGAGACAGGCAACGAACTGTGTTGGAGTAAAGAAAGCCCTACTCTACATTTAAAACAAAATTCCACTAACAGAGCTCCAACCACTTCAAGAGTGTCTCCTGAAGTCTGAAAGGTACACATAAAAAGTGATTTCATACTCTTCAGTGCCGAGTAAATTAAACTTTGCTCTGGCCAATAAGTTAGAAAATAAAGCTAAGCAACCAGTGTGCAAATCACCTGTGTTTCTACAATTACCTCACAATTAGACAACTGCTGAAAGCAGCTGGAGGCAAATGCAATACATTTTCTAGCAAAACACAAAATGAAACAGTCTGCTCTGATGCAGAAAAATACATAAATGAGGTTATAAAGAGAACTGTTTGGCAAAGAGTAATCAAATAAAATGAAATATGGTACATTAAGCTTGGCACTTTGTTGCATTTCATTTTTGTCATTAAGAATATTGCTAAAGAAAATTCAATATATTCAATAGCGTTTCTATGGTGTTTTGTAGGGCTGCAACAAAATTCTGCTATCTCTTTAAAAAGGAAAGCATTACGTTATTGCTAAATCTACAGCACTGAAGTTATTTAAAAACAGTGTCTTAAAAATGCTATTGCCAGAACAAAAGTTTGTGTATATGCACATAAAGTGCTGACACCAGTTTTTGCACAGCTGTCAGAAAACAGAAAGTAGGTGGTGGTGGTAACTTTTTTTTTATGTATAATAATCAAAATGTTAATTGCACCACTGCATTAATAGCTGGACTAGTCCTTGTGACATAGCAAACCGTTTATTCCACGTAGCAAACAGGCACAACTTATTTTAAACAATATGAAAACACAAGTATTCTCCCATGGCTGCCCATACCTGAACAGGGACTCTCTGGAGAGCCAGATTTCATTCTGTTTCACGGTCTTCCAAGAGAACAGCAGCAGCAGTAAAGCAAAGAGAGTCAGAACAGTAATTCGCCACTTATTTAACCACGTAGTCAGCTTTTTCAGACCATGGACAAAAAGGATGCAGTACCCCATACTGGAAAAAAAGTGAAAAATGGAAAAGGTACAGTTACATTGTAGTACTCCAGTTTACATGCAACACCATTCAGTATCGCATTTCTTACACAGTTACTGTTGTTTTTTTTAACTAATTATATTGTCCAAGATAACAAACACGAATTCAGCAGCATTTTTTCTCAAGTCACTGTATAATTTCCAAATTAATCTAAATGACAGACCCAGATGCCAGAAGTATAGTAGCGTGCATAATCCCACACAGCGTAATGGTAGCCTGCACCACTCTGTGCAAGGCAGCTGCCTTTCCCAACAGCAAGCTAGCAAAGCATCGTGTAATAACAGTAATACTGAGTGCTACCAAAGGGAAAAGCATTACGGCACAATGAAGGCTCGAGCAAACAGCCCCAGTGGTGGTTGCTATTAGTGCCGGTCTGCGCAGCGTGGAACCCGGAGAGGAGTAAGGCACAGCTGGAGGGGGGTCAGAGGCCTCTCCAAAAGGTGCTGGAGGGAATCACGTTTTGAACGGAGGTTTGCTCCTGTATAGCTTTAAACTAAGTCAGTAATTATTAATTACTTCATGCAGATGTTGCCCATCCTTCCAGTGACTCCCTCCGAGCTGGAAATTCAGGGCTTTGAGTTGCTGTACTTAGCACACCGCTAATTTTGCTCAGCGTTTTTACGAGGGAACTTCAATTGCTATTGCCTGAGGCACTTCATTAGCTTATCTGTAACTATTTAACCCAAAATACTACACATTGAGCCACAGCTCTCACTAGATAAAAATTTAGCTTCAGACTTAAAGTCTATCTTAGCCCTGGCAGCTCTCCCCAAACAAAAGAGGGAGCAGAAGGAACTGAAACAACACTTGGGGATAATGGACGCACTGTGACTATATCACTATGTGGACTCTACCTAGAGAGGAGTCCCAGTGAGACTGCTACAAGGGAAGAAAAACTAGAAACATAACTCCCTGGACAGAGGTAACATTGCAAATAAGTATGCGATACAGTGTAAGGCTATCTGGAAAACAGAAAAATGCCCCATCTTTGAGGAACTGCGAACATGTTACCCCGCAGTTTCTCTGCCCCATGAAAGGATGAGGATAGTGCTAAAATGCTATCCAGAGAGGGACAATCATTCTTACTGAGGAAGCTTTTATATGCTGATCAGAAGTTGCCACCCCTGCTGTGTACTGATCTGCACCAGGTGCCGCCTCTGGCAGGGTATTAGTGTCATGTAGGGCGCTGAGAGAGGCACAGACATAGGAGACAAATACAGAAAAAACATCAGTTCCAGAGATCGTTCTGAACTTTGGCATTAGGTTAGAGTTTTCCCATTTCTCAGATGCGTTTGTCAATATTTATTTTCACTTAACTACACTTGCATTTGGCTGAAACACATTTCTTACAGCACTCACTCTGGTTTTTTTTTCCACAAACTCTTTTGCACACATATGTTTATTGCACCTACATTAATTGCAAGCAGACACTTAGAGCCACAAACCGAGATGCTGGTGCCAAACAACCCAGCCTTTATAGCTGCTGAACCTTCCTTTACAACTCTGAAAAGCTAATCTCAGTAATAAGCCCTCCCCTCCCAATGAGAAATGCCTCGAAAACCTGCAGATTGTTTTCATTCTGTTATTTAGCCTTTTAGCAATTTAATCCTTCCCTTGAAATCAATTATCTGACATAAACGTTACTTAATTGCTTTAGCACAAAGCTGTTTTCAAAAGACATTCCCTACACCTTCACGTTTTTGAGAACGGGCCTTTTCAAACAGAATGGTGAATGCTTCCAGAAAATAAAATATGCAAACGTCAATGTCTTGGTATTTCTATCAAACCCTGCCCTAGCTGCTAGTGATGTTGGCCCCGGCAGCACGGCCAGCTCTGCACTGTGGCTGCACAGGCACTGCAAGGCTGCTGCTTCCCGTCCAAGGGAGATTTTCCAGCATCTGTGACAGCTGCACACTGAGGCTGCAGAGAGGAGAGGGTAAGGATCCATCTTAGCTGTGATTTGTCTCTGTGCTTTTCAGGGCTCTCTTAGAGACTAACAGTCAGTAACCCAAAGGCAATCATAGAATCACAGAATCATTAAGGTAGCAAAAGACCACTAAGATCATCTAGTCCAAGCCCAATCCAACACCACTGTGCCCACCGACCACATCCCTCAGTGCCACATCCATGCGGTTCATGAACACCTCCAGGGACAGTGACTCCATCACCTCCCTGGGCAGCCCTTTCCAGTCTCTTCTTCCACATTCAGCAAGGATTCAGTATGGACAGTGAGGGGAATGGTTTCCCAAGTGGCTGCCAGAAGGCAATCATGGAGCCAAATCATAGGAACCCAAAACTGCAGAACTGCTCCAGTGAAGTTAGGACAGGGCTGTAGTTGTGCCACAATTACAGTCTAATTAGTCTAAAGTTAATGTATCTGTATTATAAAATGCACACATATTCAACAAAAGGGAAAAGGGAAAGGATCAGAAAGTGTGAATCTGGTAAGTTTGTCTTTAAACTTCAGACAATTCCCTGTCTCAAATCAACAGGGGAAGGGTGGGGAAGATCTACTTCGTTGCTTTGCCAAGGACCCTTCAGTGCAAGTCAGCAGAGCTGCATCTCTGCACAGTTTTTCCTATTACATCTATTTTTCAGTCCCAACCTGTGGCTGAGAGTGGTTGGAAATGTCCTGGCTAAAAGGTTTTGCAGAGCAAGGACTATAAAGCACTCACATGTCCTTGCTGCCAGGAAAGCAGGTGCATTTGTGATTTCTGTGCCAAAAATAGTACGCAAAAAAACTGTCTGCAACCTCTCTAAACCTATTATCCAACAGTATCTTGGGCTACATCAAAAGAGAGGTGGCAAGCAGGGTGAAGGAGGGGATTGTCTCCCCCTGCTCTGCCCTCTGAGGCCCCAGCCACAGTACTGTGTCCAGAACTGGGGCCCCCAGCACAAGGGGGACATGGAGCTGTTGGAGTGGGTCCAGAGGAGGGCCATGGAGATGATCAAAGGGCTGAAGCACATCTCCTATAAAGACAGGCTGAGAGAGCTGGTCTTCTCAGTCTGGAAAAGGGTCAGGGGAGATATCATTGCAGTGTTCCAATACTTAGAGCTTATAAACAGGAGAGGAATTAACTTTTTTCATGGGTAGGTGGTTAAAGGACAAGGGGGAATGATTTTAATCTAAAAGAGGGAGAGATTTATATTAGATGTCAGGGGGAAATTTTACACGGAGAGGGTGGTGAGGCCCTGGCACAGTTGCCCTGAGAAACTGTGGGTGCCCCATCCCTGGAGGTACTCAGGGCCAAGCGGGATGGGACTCTGGGCAGCCTGAGCTGCTGTGTGGCAGCCCTTGGGGCTGGATGGACTTTTAGGCCCCTTCTAACCCAAACCATTCCAAGATTCATTCTATGATCCTTTACTTTTTTTGCACCTCTCTTTACCTTTCTAACTTAAGATCAAATCATGATGGTGAAATCACAGCAAAACCAGACCCTTCTCCTCCACATCCACTGAACCACTCCAAACAAAAAACCATCCATATCAGCATCCCTCAAAATAAAAATAAAAAAATAAATAAATAAATAGGAAAAAAAATACTGCTGCTTCATTTCTCCACAAATGTAGACTTCCTCTTACTCTACAACCCACTTCTTTCACAACAGACTAAAAAATCCTGGTATTGAAATTAGCTTTCATATAGAGACATAACGTTTGGCAACAGAAGAGCACCAAGCTTGCTATGGCAGAGCTGCAGCACAGCAATACGGCCTAATGGCTGCTGGATCTGAGCAGCCCAGGAGCACTCATTGTGAGGGTTTTAGCAATGGGCAGCAGTCCAGGCGGAGGTGGCTAAAAGACCACGTATGGTGACACTGCACTCATCTACTTTAGGTAACTTGATAAGTGACTCTGAGACACTTCCTGCATGGTTTGGGCCCCTGGGCAGCCTAATCTGGAGAGTGACAACCTTGCTCATGGCAGAGGGTTGGAACTTGATGATATTTAAAGTCCCTTCCAACCCAGCCCATTCTGTGATTCTATGGTTAATGCTGCCATGACACTGCAATCACCTACAAGCACACAAAGCACAAATACACCAGCTTTTCTTCTGAGTGTCAGGGGACTTGATTCCGTATCAAAAATTAGCTCAGTGGGAAATCAGACTTTACTCACATGCATTTAAAGAAAAAAAAATGAAAAAGCATCTATCAAAGACCTATTTCCCACCTGAAAAAATTAATACACTTAAGTACTAAATTCTAAGCATCTTCATAGTCACCTTCACATGTACCTATGGTTGTATGATTTATTTTTGCATTAGCTGTAGCATTTCCCATTGAGAGAGAGAGCCAGTGTTCTCTTATAAGGCTTTTGCCTGGCATTGGCCTCCCCTGTCATTCAAGCATTTTTCTAACATATTTTGTAGCCAAAGCAAAATAATGGAAAACAAGCCAAATCCCCAAACTACTATTATTTTTTAAGTCCATTTTCCACTGGATTATAGTAAAACTGCTAATCTTTTTTTTTTTTTTCCTTCTTCTTCTGTAGGATAGGCAACAGCTTGCTACAGCAACCTTCCCCACTGTGAAAAGTCTGTGACAGCTTAGCCCTGGGTCAGATGTGAAGCAGAACCTAAGGAACAGGTAACGTGGTAACAGTTTTTGCTCGGGCTCACAATGAGAACCCTTACAATGGGGGAACGAGCAGCTTCAGAATGTCACTACCACTACGTGAGGGCTTGCACAAGGGATTCTTGCTTGGCACACAGACCCACCAGCCTCATGTTTTGGACTCCTACAGTACCAGTGACACCTCAGTGGGGTCGTGTTTTACAGTGAGAGCAGAACTGCACTTGGTTGGCAAACACTGTGCGCCATTTACACGTTTCTGGCAGACTGCATGCAGGGAGTTATGCAATGACAGATTTTCATCTGTAGTTTCTGTGGTTTGTTAATATCGTTCCACCTGCATGAAGTGAAGTGATAAGAGGCACAAACAGATGGGAACGAGGTGGC